GCTTGAGCCGCAGGCACTGAGCCAGACACTGAGTTTTAGAGACACAGAGAAACCAAGAGGAAGGAGAGAAATGCACCTACTCTCAGGTTGTATAAATGCTAGAGATTGAGTGATTTGCTCAAAATTGTACTATGTAGACAGTAAATAAGTGGTGGAATTAGAATCCTGACCCTAAATTTCATTTTCTTTCTATTGGATTGAGCAATGGCTTCTCCCATGAATGTCCCCCGGGCAGATCTTTTAAAGGCACTGCTACTTTTGTCTATCCTTGTTGGACTACCAGTTGTCAAAATGATTATTTTAGCACTCTTTTTATCTGTAGTTGCCATGCTCTCTGCGGAGAACTAAGGTGTTTCTTTCTTTCTTTCTTTCTTTTTTTTGAGACAGTGTCTCGCTATGTTGCCCTCGGTAGAGTACCGTGGCGTCATAGCTCACAGCAACCTCAAACTCTTGGGCTTAAGCAATTCTCTTGCCTTAGCCTCCCAAGTATCTGGGACTATAGGTGCCTGCCACAATGCCTGGCTATTTTTTATTGCAGTTGTCATTGTTGTTTAGCTGGCCTGGGTGGGGCTCAAACTCACCAACCTCAGTATATATGGCTGGTGCTGTAACCACTGTGCTACAGGCACCAAGCCTTTTTTTTTAGTTATTATTTTTTTTGAGATAAAGTCTCACTTTGTTGCCCCTGATAGAGTGCTGTAGTATCATAGCTCACAGCAACCTGAGACTCTTGGGCTCAAGCGATTCTCTTGCCTCAGCCTCTCATGTAGCTGGGACTACAGGTGCCCACCACAATGCCCAGCTATTTTTAGAGACAGAGTCTTGAATATGTGAGCTTAGGCAATCCACCCACCTTGGCTTCCGAGAGTGCTGGGATTACAGATGTGAGCCACTGTGCCCGGCCAGAATTAAGGTGTTTCTGAAGTCCATTCCCCAACTTACCAGTCAAGCTTGTTCTCTGTTAGTTTAGGATGTCCTTTTTCCACAATATCTTAGGTAGTATACTTTGGCCAGAGTGACCTCTCTTCTTTGAATGATGTTCCTTTGGGCTTAGGGTTTTTTTTTTTTTGAGATAGAGTCTCACTATGTTGCCCTCAGTAGAGTGCCATGGCTTCTCAGCTCACAGCAACCTCCAACTCTTGGGCTCAAGTGATTTTCTTGCCTCAGCCTCCCAAGTAGCTGGGACTACAGGCGCCCACCACAATGCCCAGATATTTTTTGGTTGTAGTTGTCATTGTTTGGCAGGTCTGGACTGGGTTCAAACCTGCCAGCTTTGGTGTATGTGGCTGACACCCCAGCTGCTGAGCTATAGGCACTGAGCTGGGGCTTAGGGGTCTTATAGGTACAGCCCAGATTGTTGGTCTACTGCATCTATTACTGCATCTATTACAGTATTTTCCAAGATGGGATCTTAGGACTCCAACTTATAAAGCAGAGAAAAGCAGAGGTGTTCAGATTGAAGGCAGGTGGGGCAGGTGAGAGCTCACCCACATACGCTCATATGCTTCTTTTCCAAGGCAGCAGACTTTGGCTCAGACTTCCTGGTTTCATATTCCAGCTTTGATGCTTGTTAGCTTTGTATCCTTGGGAAAATCACTTAACTTCTCTGATTGCTACATTCCTCATTTGGAAATAAAGATAATTTCTGTCTTATAGAGTTGTCTTGAGGC